AAAATGCATTCTAACTGAAGATATTAGGGGGGTCCGATACTTTTCGATGACCCTGTATGTATACTCTATTCGGCGAGAGAAAATTATCAATTTGCATTTCGAAACTTTACTCAATAGAAGTCATAGCGGTCGTAGGATCACAAGTCGTAGGAAACTCATCAATTATAATCAGTTCTTCTCATTATTATTCTCGATTATTCGACTATGATTGGTTAATTTTCTACGTCCTAAAATCCTACGACTACTATTCTATTGTAAACACCGGGTTAAATTTAAATATAAGGGTGTTTCAGAAATAGTTGGCCAAACTCTAAGAGCATAAATCTTGCGATGCCTCTCACGTCGGACAGACTAAAAGAAAACTAAAAACTAGATTGGTTGAGCACCGCAATCATTAATCGGAATAGTAACAACCAATCAATGATCACAAAACATCGTATTGAATTTGATCATGACTTCAATTGGGAGAATGTCGCGATTCTAGATGAAAAGCGTTTTCTTAATAAGCGTTTAATATTTGAATTTATATTTGCCTTTATATACTAATGCAATCATGATGTAAATATACAGGTGAACCATTGCGCATATGATGTCACGTGTCATGACATAACGATCGTAGTGAGCCAATAAGAAATGCCCAGAAGTGTAGAGCGAAGTAGAGCAAATGTACAGCAGGGGCCCTATTCCTGAATATATGTTGCAATTCCGTATACAATTGAACGATCATAATCGAGAAACTGTCATTTTCGTACGCGAAAATTATTCATATATGCTCAAGAATAGGGCCCCAGTGCAGTGTATCACTTCGCAGCCGTATTGAATTCTGACATCCTGGGCGATTTCTGATTGGCTTTTTACTTTAGACGACTGCGCATCCACGGGAATGGTTCACCTGTCTTTTTACATCATGAGAATGCAACAAAACAGTCTAAATTTACGCTCAGATACAGGTGTACACACACACTGGCAGAAACAGTTCCCTCGGCGTTCGGTGCGCGGCGCCACACACTTGTACCGAAGCACACACGTACGTGTTACTGGGAGCGCGGAGGCGAAGAGAGCGAAGGGAGAAAGTAGTGGGGAGTGCTCCGATATTCTATCCTTAGCGCAAGACGCACGATTGAGAGAGAAAGCGTAATTGGACGTGATGCCGGCTCGCGGTGTTCTTTCGCTGTCTCACACATTTGTTACTAGTACGAGTGAGTATATACCCCGGTGTCTCTCGCTTGTCAATATTCATAATACTTTTATTATGCAAAATGTTGTAATTATGCATAAAAATTTTTAATATCGTAAAAAATTGTTGTGCATAATTACAACATTACGTGTAATTTTGAAACTCATTGTAATAGAACAAAGAAAATTTAATTTGGCTAAAAATCACTGGTCAATTACGTTAATTTATTTAAGATTTTTTCAAACATTATTTCTATTAATATTTAGATTATATAATTTTGTTACCAAAAAAGCATGGAAACTTCTTTGGCCGACAATTATACATCTTAATGGATACTTGGAGATTCTGTATCATGATATTACTGAGGATGGCTAAAATGTATAGCCGAAACGTCCAGACGATGATATAATTACGCATCTTATGGTTTATTAAATATCTTTTTACAAAAATTTTTGCGCACTTCTTACTGCACTGATTCCTTTTTAGCCAAATTAAATTTTCTTTGTTCTATTACAATGAGTTTCAAAATTACACGTAATGTTGTAATTATGCACAACAATTTTTTACGATATTAAAAATTTTTATGCATAATTACAACATTTTGCATAATAAAAGTATTATGAATATTGACAAGCGAGAGACACCGGGGTATATACTCACTCGTACTAGTAACAAATGTGTGAGACAGCGAAAGGACACCGCGAGCCGGCATCACGTCCAATTACGCTTTCTCTCTCAATTGTGCGTCTTGCGCTAAGGATAGAATATCGGAGCATTCCCCACTACTTTCTCCCTTCGCGCTCTTCGCCTCCGCGCTCCCAGTAACACGTACGTGTGTGCTTCGGTACAAGTGTGTGGCGCCGCGCACCGAACGCCGAGAGGACACCATTTCTGCCGGTGTGTGTGAAGATGGTTCCAAAGTGAACTGAAACGTACTATTTTTGGAATAAAGATTCTATTTTTGGATTGAAGTTTAGAATTGTCGTGTGGATCGGATGAATAAGCGGATAAACGTAATAATCAATATCCAAATTAACTGGTATCTTTATTACAATGTGGAACATATATACACACATATAACGCGCTGCTCTTCTCTACGGCTCGAGAGACGAGAACGATCTGCCTCGTCGTTGCCTCACGAACACTCTCGTGACCCGATTTTGACAACTTCTGTTTACTTCCAGAATGTTCGATTCGTTTGCTAACTTTTAAATCGCCGCGACTATCTTTTCTACCATCGTGTATTTATTCGTGATGACCAATGACTACTTAAGGTTTGGCCTCCGGCTGTGTCGAGGATTCCGTCTAGTCAAATACGAACTACTTCCCGATGCACCGCGGTTGCTGCCTTTTACATTTTGTCGCTTTTATTTTATAATCGTTATGTAGTACATATATATTTGCTCGTTCGACAGCTATCTCGCATTTACCTTTTTCTTTCTCACACAGCTGAGAGGTCCACAAAATAGGATATATACACATTATACTCGATGTTCTCATGAATTTCGATGTCTCCATTATACCCGTCGTTTTTCTAATAATCTGAACGCAGAGGTAGTGGCGATGCATTCGCCACAGAAGAATTGATATTGCGTATTAATTACCACGCTGACTCTCATTCGCCCTGTTTTTTGGAGTTTTTTGTTGTTGAATTTGGGAGAGTCCGTAAGATTACAATATTTTTGTTTCTAAGAGTATATTCCACTTATTACAAGGATGAAAAAATGTCATATAAACATGGGTTCGGAAACGGTTCCTTTCCAAGTTATTGAATATGTTGGTACTATAATATGCAATAATTATTGAAAATGCTGGTACATAGAAAAGAAAAATGTAATGAATGTAGTAAGGCGGAGCGTGTTGCACACGCGCTTGCTCGTCCGAGCACGACGAAGCAATGCGCGGTTCTTTTCGGAGAATGATTACATTTATTAAAGCGTTAATCATTGGATCACATTGTTCGAAATAGCGTGATTGCATGTTCCTGATATATACCGTTTTCAAGTTGAATTAGCTGCCCACTGATCGTTATTTGTTAAGAATCGTCGTAGGCGCACGGTTTTCCGATATCTCTTGATCTATTCCAAGAATTTTCTTTTTGACGTGTATCTCTTCATCTGATTGTCAATTTTCTTGAGTACGTTCTATCTAGCAGCCTCTCCAAATTCAATTCGATCTTTGTCAAACTTAATTAGCGTATTTAAGATGCGCGCTAATTCACGTTCTTTTCAAATATAAGAGAAATATCATTGATTCCTCATCATTCCAGGTTACCGCACAATGGCGAGCAAACTCTGGTGTCAAGAGATTGGCCGCAGGTGGAGACAGGCGGCCAAACAGGAGCCACCGCAGGCGCGTGTGCTGTCCGAACCAAAATGCCAATCGTACGTGGCCATCTGTTATTTGTACTACCGTTGGATCATCTTCCTCATCTGGGCTGCTTTTGTCATATGTTCGGTATTTGAATTTGGCAGTTACAAACCACTAATGCAGTATGAAAAATGGCCAATCTATCTGACCAACTGGGACATGGCTCTGGGCTTTATACAAGCTCTGATTGGCGGTATCCTTGTGTTGAAGCGATGGCGATTGCAGAAGATATCCGGCTTTGATCCTTGCAGTCTCAAACTGGAGTCCACTGAGCGACTGTACTGGTTTCTGTACGTTGTCACGACCAATATGGCAATTGGCGTGACGGGGTGCTACTGGCTCGTTGTATATAATCCAGTGATCCATCAGGTGGATCCGCTCAATATCATGGTGCATGTATGTAACAGCGTGCTGATGCTGATTGATCTATTTGTCACCAACATACCGTTCCGTCTGCGAAACTTCTGGTGGTGCCTGGCGATCGTTATGTTGTATGTAATCTTCTCAGTGATTTACTATCTTGCTGGTGGCCTTGACAAATATGGTTATCACTACATCTACAAAATCTTTGATTGGAAGAAGCCGGTGCGGACGTCACTCGTTTGTATTAGCGGTTTCATGTTCGTGACGGTGTTGCATTGCATCACTTGTTTGTTGGCGAACATCAGAGATCGGATTTATTTCTCGAGAAATTCAACAAACCTGTGCAGATAAATATGAAAGATAAACTGCGGTAATTATTCAGATTAAGGGATACCCCGATGACCTTGACCTTGACATATATTGTTAAAGTCATGGCCCTGAGTGACCTCCGATAGGTTTTAGGTGGCGATCGTCCCTCGTTAAAAAGTTATTAACAAAAAAAGTTTTAAAAATGACGTTCTATTTCTACTACATTTTTCACCCGAAGCGACTCTCACCCCCCCCCCCCTTACCTACCCCCTGCAAAGAGGGAACTTGCGCGATTTTCAGCCCAAACGACTCAATACCATGGTTGGATTAATATATACCATTTACAGGTTATTATATACCATATACAGATTAGGGTTAGGGTTATTATATATCATTAAATTTTCCGAATATTTCTGAGTATTTTTGAAAAATGCAGTAGGAATAAAACGTTATTTTTAAAACTTTTTTGTTAATAACTTTTTGACAAAGGACGACCGCCATCTAAAACCTGTCGGAAAGTTTAATGGTATATAATTCAACTATATAACACGAGTATTCCCTGTTTTAAAATATGTTTGCTATTCGTGTAGGAGGGTGAAAGTCAAAGGTAAAAGTCGTACGCCCCTTTGTAGGGAGGGAGGGGGTGAAAGTCGCTTCGGCTGAAAGTCGTAGACCCCTTTACAGGGAGAAGGGGGGGTGAATAAATATATATAATATATCTCATATAATATTATATAGTTGTCATAAGTGTTATATAATTGTCATATAAATGTGTTATACAGTTAAACTTTTTTTGTTAATAATTTTTTAGCGAAGAACGACCGCCACTTAAAAACTGTCAGAGGTCACTCAGGACTATGACCTTGACATATGTCAAGGTCAAGGTCAAGGTCATCGACGGGGTGTCCCTTAACCTGAATAATCATCTAAACCTTCCGGAAAAAGGAAGGAGTTTAATCATTAAAAAAATTTATTTAGAAATACTTATTAATATCCTCAGCACGTAAGGTCCCAAAGCATGGAACAATCTAATATTCGGTAAGTTAAAATGAAACGTGTTTGACGTGATTTCGTCTGGGAGTAGTCTTTCTGGCGAGTTTTCTGTGGCTACCTAACTTGCTTGTAAAAATGAGAAAGTATTAATAGGAAGTTAACAGTAATGATATATACAACTTTGAGTTTTGTCCTTAGCAAACTAAAAAACAATAATATAATTGATAATGATATCAATCAGTATACTGATTAGAGATGGGCGATACAACGCCGATATTTTAAATATTGATGAAATATTTACGGACTTTTCTTCTTGTTATTTTGTACCGATATTTCGTCTTTCAATATTGAAGTGTATCGATATTTGAAAAGGAATATCGGACTTCCGACACGGTCCGTTAAGCTCGTGTTAATTTAGTACAAATTGAGATTGGATTGAAATTTTCATTATTTATTATATTTGTTATATATATATACATATATACATATATATATATATATACAGTGTGTTTCATTTTAATCCAGCCACGCAGGTACCTCTGTCAAAATGAATGATATCAAAAAATGGCCTCTACAAAAGTTGAAGGGGACAGAAGGGGCCACACAATGGTACCAACAATCTTGACCTTGAATTCGATTTTCAAGGTCATTTTTTAAAATAGGAAGCCCCATTTTTCGTTGAATATTCTTGTAGCTTACCTCGAGAGCTTTCCAAAACACTATAATAAAATATTTTTTCATTAAGTACTTCTCGAGTTATAAGGCTCGAATGTTACAGTACCGCCGCCATTAGCATTAAGCAAGGTATCCGACCGATGGCTAAAACCTCTTGAATGTTGTTCAGGATCATATCCTAGATAACATTCGTTAAGATCAAGGTCATTGGAGATTGTTTCTCTTATTTTCATTTTTGCACTGAAAATTCATTTTCATGCACTGAAAATTTATTTTCATGTAAAAATGAAAATAAGAGAAACAATCTCCAATGACCTTGATCTTAACGAATGTTATCTAGGATATGATACTGAACAACATTCAAGAGGTTTTAGCCATCGGTCGGATACCTTGCGTAATGCTAATGTCGGCGGCGGTACTGTAACATTCGAGCCTTATAACTCGAGAAGTACTTAATGAAAAAATATTTTATTATAGTGTTTTGGAAAGCTCTCGAGATAAACTACAAGAATATTCAACGAAAAATGGGGCTTCCTATTTAAAAAAATGACCTTGACCTTCAAATGACCTTGAAAATCGAGTTCAAGGTCAAGGTTGTTGGTACCATTGTGTGGCCCCCTCTGTCTCCTTCAACTTTTGTAGAGGCCATTTTTTGATATTATTCATTTTGACTAATATCAAAAAAAATATATATATACGAGGGTCGTCTAAAAAGTTTTGAGCCTCACCATGAAGATGGCGTTACTCGTCAAAGCCATTCTGATATTATAATCGTGATACTTACGAAAGATATCTGTGACAATTGTGACCACTTTGGACGTTCAGTTTTTGTTTGACAATCATTTGTATCGTCCTTTTGTAAAAATGAAAAAAATTGAATATCGTGCTATAAATAAATTCTTGCATTTGAAAGGCAATACGTCTACGCAAATTAAAGCCGAGTTGGACGCTGTTTACGGGGACTCTGCTCCATCATTTGCCACCGTGAAAAGATGGGTAGCTGAATTTAAACGTGGTCGTACCAGCTTAGCTAATGATGAGCATTCGGGACGGCTAACAACTGCGACCATCACCGATAACATCGAAGAAATTCATCAAATGATAATGGACAACCGTCGAATTAAGATTAGGGAGATAGCAGAGGCATATCAAAAGAACGTGTTTGTCATATATTGACTGAAGAATTAGGCATGCGTAAGTTAACCGCGCGTTGGGTGCCGCGCTTGCTCACTCTGGATCAAAAACGCATTCGAATGAACATTTCTAAGACCCTGTTGGAGCGGTTTAAGCGAAACGAGTCGGATTTTTTGCGTCGATTAATAATGGTTGATGAAACTTGGGTCCACCACTTGACTCCTGAAACGAAAGAACAATCAAAACAGTGAACTGCGAAGGGTGAACCTGCTCCGAAGAAAGCGGAGACGGTTTTATCGGCGGGAAAGGTGATGGCCACTGTTTTTTGGGACAGTCATGGAATTGTGTTGATCGACTATCTTGAAAAAGGTAAAACAACAACAGGGACGTACTACGCATCATTGCTTGACAAGCTGAAGGCAGAAATTGAGAAAAAACGACCGCATTTGAAAAAGAAGAAAGTGCTGTTCCATTAAGATAATGCATCGTCTCACACTTCGGCGGTCGCTATGGCAAAAATTCACGAATTGCGGTTCGAATTAATTGACCATCCACCGTATTCACCAGATCTGGCCCCCAGCGACTTTTTCTGTTTCCTAGGCTCAAAGTTTGGCTCGGAGGATAGAAATTTTCATCGAACGAGGAGGTCATCGCATCCGTAGACGCCTATTTTGTAAAGCAAGACGCTCAGTATTATTTGAATGGATTAAAGGGGTGGGAGCATCGCTGGAAAAAATGTATCGACTTAAAAGAAGACGGGGTGATCCCGATTGATTCACCAATCACAGCGACCAGTGCTTAGGAGCTTTGTAGTCTCAAGCGCTGTAAGTGGCTCGTGTCCAATTGAGCCATGTCCAACTGGGTGCCACGCAAAGAAGACTATATAATGTGGAAAAATAAAATTGAATTTGACCGAAAAATTACTTTCTATGTTAGGCTCAAAACTTTTCAGACCGCCCACGTATATATACAGGGTGTCTTGAACTTTTTTGCCAATCACTTTTGTGTAGGTAGAACGGATTAAACTGAGTCGAAAAGTCCTCTACCATTTTGCAATTTTTGCAGCAGTTAACAAGATATTAATTACTAAAAATTGCCAAATATTGGTCTTGAATAATTTTTTACTGAGTGACGTCGGGAAGGTGAGGGAGTAGAATGGACGTGGGACGAGAGAGATTGTGACAGATAAGGGAGAAGTAAGAGACGGGTGTTTTGGATGTTAGAGAAAGGATAGCAGGGATAAAGGGAGAGGAGGATGTTAAGAAGAAGAGAGACGAGGGTAGAGTCGTAGAATAAGGAGAATATAGAGAGATAGCAGGCGATAGAAATTCAAGAGGCATAGACTGGTAAGGATATAGAAGGATAGCGATCGAGAGGAAGCGGCATAGAGTAGAGAGAGTAGAGAGAAGGATAAAGAAAAGAGAATTAGGAATTGGACAAGAAAGTAATAGATGGAGAAGTTTTTAGCGAAGGAGAAGAAGGGGACAGTTTTTTTAAGGATAGAGGAATGAAGATACAGGAGTGGGAAAGACAAGGAAGGGAGGAAGAAGGTACGAGGAATTGAGTGAGGCTCGATTGCGCACATTAACAATCGCACACGACAGGATTTCCCGATCGGACACGGACCCGATCGGACGCATTAGTGATCGGACACATGGTGTTGCAATCGGACAGGGACCCGATTGCGCACGGACCCGATTGCGCAAGACTCAATTGCATACGGATTCGATTGCGCACGGACCCGTTTGCACACAGACTCAATTGCGCACGACCCGATTACACACGGACCCATTTACACACCGACCCGGTTGTGCACGGACCCGATTGTGCACCGATCCGGTTGCGCACAAACCCGTTTGCACACGGACCCGATTGCGCGACACGTTTGCACGGTTTGGAATTTTTCCAAAAAAATCTAACCTTAATCAAACCATTCGTTGGTGTGAGGTAGAAAGACCTCAATTCGCGTAAAAAATTGTGAGCTGTAGGCAATAATGTATGTAGGCAATCGAGCTGTAGGCAATAATACATGTAGGCAAAAGTAACTCTGTTTCTAAAATTTTGATTTGTACGCAAAAGTGCATGTAGGCAATAGAGCTGTAGGCAATAACACATGTAGGCAATCGATTTGTAGGCAAAGCTGTGTGCCCTCTCTGTGCAAACGTTTGATCGCAATCGGGTCCGTGTGCAAACGGGTTTGTGCGCAATCGGATCGGTGCGCAATCGGGTCAGTGCGCAAT